CCGCGATAACCACGCCCCATCGAGGGGCCTTTCGGTATCGCGCCACCGGTCGAAGCCGTTTCCACGGGAAATCCTTCGGAAATCCGTTCTCAAAATACACGTCGCCGCTGTACGTCGCCGTTTTCACTCGGATAATGATGTATCGTTGTGAACCGTCGCGATGGGATTACTCTTCCCCGACCAAGACAGAGCCCTCGCCAATACCGAAGATTAACGACATTCCGTGATTTAACCCGCCGCAACGCTGACGGTTCCGGCGATCCTGCGGCCGGAGACGCACAATCGCCCGAATTCGGGAAAAAACGTCGACCCAATTCCACCGTTCTTGCAACGAAACTCCGATATTATTTGGACCGTTCATTTTGAAAGCGATGTGTAAGTCGATTTTTTTATTTTATTTAAACCGAGATATATCGCATAGTTTGTGATTAATTTAGCGCAATCGTTTTATTTATAATTGGTCGATGTTTATTGGGTTGGCAACTAAGTTCTCGTCGTTTTTTTTTTTAATTTTGATATTGCGTATGCAGTTTACTTTTGCGAGCTTAGAATCTTGATTAATAGCAAAAAGAAAGTGTCGAAAATGCGCATTTTTCTCAACTTGACATTCCATTTTAATGATCTGAAAATTAATATAAATTAACTTGAACAAAATGAAACAAAACATGACACGCGCAATGTTAAAATTTTAAGAAAACGGCGAGAACTTAGCTGCCGACCCAATGATATCTTAAAAAATGCCAATGCTTTGTTCAACTTAAAATTGGTCAATAAAAGAAATTGCATTAGCGATCGATTATGGAAATGGTGTAAGTCAAATTTCCATGGACATATGGAAATGCCACCAATTAACATAAATTAGCTCGAACAAAAAAAGAAACATCCTTTTTCGAATGATTTAAAGCATTATGCCAAAAACATTTAATGACATGCGCAATGTTAAAATTTAAAAAAAACGGCGGGATCTTAGCTGCGGGAACTTGCTGCAATAATATCTTAAAAAATGCCAATACTTTGCTCGATTTAAAATTGGTCAATAAAAGAAATTGCATTAGCGATCGACTATGAAAATGGCGGAAGTCAAATTTCCATGGACAGGATTATTATGATGTTGTGAAACAATATTAATACGCTACAACCTTTAAGTTTCTCGAAACGACAGAAAATGGACTTGCACCACCTTCAAATTAAACAGTCTATTTGTTTAGTAATAGAAAGCATTGTGTCGTCAATTGGATTTGAGTTTCACACAACTTACGGGGCCATTGTTATTTTGTTTTGTACACTCGAGCCTTTACGCTGGAACAACGAGACTCGTCAACGTAACAGTATGTGCATTCATTCGAGCATATTTTGTAATCACGATCGTACAATACATCGTTAAATGCGATCATGTTTTTTCTTTTTTTTTTAATAGGCAATTCGAAGTAGTTGTAAGAGTTTGTTTTAATAGTTGGCGAGTTGTTTAGGAAAATTTTGGGATGAATCCTTCAGTCGTTGAATCGTTAATTCAGAATATTTGACTGTACAATGGAATACATCAAATTCGTGTATATAAATTGTTGTAAAATGAAAAGATACTTAAAAGCACTTTATTCAGAATTACAAATTCTATTCCAGAACATTCGCGTATCCAGTAAAATAAATGATGGTGATATATTACAAAACTACAGAGATACAGAAAATATGGTGCTGGTGAAATCCCGAGGTGGCAACCTCACGGTTCGGTTTCTACTTTCGAACTGACTATCGTCTGAGCCGACCTGGGCCTCTGTCGCCAACGGCTCGCCCTCGCAAAAGGGCCATAAAACAGTTCGATGGGCCATCGTTGAAATTCCAACATAAATTCTAGAAAAATAATTACTTTCCTTATGCAATAGCAGAAAATCGTGTAAATAGCAAAAAGTAATGATATACCGTTGATGTTTTTAGATTATCTTTTTACTGGCATAACACGGGGTATACATATGTCGCGTGTCGCATTGACGCGTTAAATAGCGCATTAATCGTTTACATGTTTCGATATTGCGAGTGAAAGCGCCACATTCATGCGGTTGTACAATAATTCAACGAAATTAGTTAACTAATCTCATTGTTTAGCTAATCCTGGTCTGCCATGCTATTTAAACATTGCTTTAGTTTCTGTTACTATCTCATACTCGTTTCACTTTCAAAGAAAACTTCGTTGTTTTGTGTTCAGTTCCCAAAAACCTTTAAATCAGCCTTCATCATTTTAAAGTTAAATTTAAATTTCACTTTAATCATCACTTTAAATTGAAAGATTTCAATCTGACAGAAAATATCAGAAAAGAACAGCATACTTCATGACAATAGAATCTACAAAACCGCAGAACGAAGTTTTATTCGTAAATTACACGAACACTTCGTTCATCGTAACTTCAAACTTCGTGCTCCGCATTTTATCCATTAAAAATCAATCGATAAGATTTTCAGCAATCGTGCCGCGTCGTAAAGAAACTTAAAAATAATCTTCCGATAATTAATCTCGAAAGATATAATTATAAATCGCGATGCCGACTCGACGATTTCACATTATTTTTCGCGGTTAAAACTGTCGTCGAGGTCTTCGTCTAAAAGTCCTTGCCTGCGAATCATAAAATTATATTATATATATAATTATATTATATAATTTATTATATCTATATTATCATATCTATTTATTATATAATTATATTACATCTATCTATATATAATAGATAGATTATTGATAAATCTTACGAAAATCTTTACATAGCCAGACAACCTAAACGACAGAATTTCGCTGTAAACGTTTCAGGTCGACGAATAAAATCGACGCAATTGTTCTCGTCAGGATCGTGTCCTTTCTCGTTCGCAGAACCGCGCTCCATAAAGCAGAGTGGAGAATCGTGTCCGAAAATAAGCACGGGCGAAACTATTCGCCAAAGAAGTCAGCGAATATTTAAGAAAACAAAGACACCGGTTCCAGGGAGAGAGACACGATCCCGAGATTTCTCGATTCGCCGGTCGCTTCGCTTCTCGATTTGTAAACGGGCGAGCGCTCTGCCGTTGGCAGAGCGTAGTGACCGCACACGCTCGCAAATTTCCCGTGACCATTTAGAATCCTGTTCTTAAACTGCGACGTATGCCACTTCCATGCCAACCAGCCGAATGAATTTCCCTCGCCGCGCGTAACCCGTCGCCCTATGAGGTCCCGGTTGGCCGGTGTACTTGATTTTTCCGCGATACTGGCCCCGCGGAAGCCGAAGTGGCTGCACTTTACTCCGACGGAAATTTATTTCGACTTTACCGTTTGTCTTTGCCGGATAGCTGTTCGGGAAGACGTGCCAGTAAGTCGCAGGTAGATTCAACGCCGAGCAATTGATCTTCTTGCGTAGAATCCACTTTTCCGGCGAAGGCCGCGCTTCTTCTAAAATGTAGCCACGTTTCCCGAGTGCTGCTACGAGACAACCGATCAGATAATAGTAATAAAGAAATTGTTCGACCCCGATGTGACAATGTATTCGAAAATAAACGCGTAAGCAATGTCGATTGAAAAAAACGCGGTGGATATATCGACGAAAAGAACATTTAACCCTTTGCACTCGGAGCAATTTTAACTCTGAATTCGAAATAGTTTTCACGCGACTTACAGGATTCCCATTTTGCTTGACTCAAGTGCAATTTATATATATGAAATCGAATTCTGTGATTTCTGCAATAATTACGTTTTCAACGATTTTTAAGATGTAAACGAATTCGATCATGTTAAAATTACTCCGGAACGTTATATAACAATTTTAAGTTGTCAGTCGGAGTCACCAGTCGCGAGTGCAAAGAGTTAATTTTCTTTTATAAAATTTTGAAGTTATTTTTATTATATAATAATTGAAATTATGTTTATTATATATAAATAATTGTAACACGTACGTATATATTTGACAACGTATAAACTTAGCAAGATTTTTTACGGGACCTGAATTTATTATGCAGATAAACGATTCGAAATGTGCTTCTTGCGATGATCTAAACAATTGCAAATACCTAAGCATTCCTTTTACCCAATTCAGAGGATGTGGAAACGCTAAAGACTATAAACAATGAAGAATATAATACATGTTTATCCTTTTCAAAGTTCAACATATCGCAATCAACAGATATAAAGCAAGGAATTCTTCGCACACACAAAAAAATCGAGATTGTTATAACAACATATTCTCAAAACTCTAAATTCTTGCACAAAGGATTTCAAAATATAACAAAGTATTATAAAATTGAATTTATATATATATATATATATTTATAACATAAATATATATATATATAAATAATTGTAACACGTACATATATACTGGGTGTCCCGAAATTATGGTACATCCGGAAAATGAGAGGCAAGCAAGGCAAAAGTATTTAAAGTATTATTTAAATTATTCGATAACATTTTCCTATTTCGATGCATCTATTTATTTATTCGTAACACTCGCGTCACTGTAGCATCTTACTGCATATGTGTATCATATTACTATGTATCATATATACAGGGTGTCTCAAAAATGTCTCTTAATCCGGAAATGGAGGGTTCCTGAGATCATTTGAAGCAACTTTCTCCTTAGCGAAAATGCAAACCGCGGCTTCGTTTACGAGTTATCGACGAAAATCAGTGACCAATGAGAAGCGAGATCTGCTGGCGCATGACGGCCGACCCAATGAGCGGATCTGGGCTTCGCGCGCTCGTTGGCTCGGCTGCCTCGCGTCAGCAGAGCTCGCTTCTTATTGGTTGGCGTTTTTCATTAATAACTCGTAAACGAAGCCGCGGTTTGCATTTTCGCTAAGGAAAATGTTACTTCAAATAACCTAAGGAATCCATCATTTCCGGATTGCGAGACATTTACGGTACCATCTTATGGCATATTGTGATCAATCCAATATAATCACCGATGTTCTTTGCACTCGCGAACGGACATACATCAATTGCAACGTGGAATCTGTTGAATCCTACAGAATTCCTTTAATCATTTCAGGACTGCTGTTTCATCGCAGCGTCCTGATGTCTGGCAGCGCGCTTTCTCCGTGGGCGCTGGTGAGAGGAGCCGCAAATTACGCTCAGCAAGTTGCCGAACATCTAAATTGCTCATGGGTGAGTGCCGGCTGGAGTACATTACATTAAGGTCCTTACTTCGGTGACAACTGGGAACCGAATAATCCGAGGAGCGGTTTTCCCAGTAAAGGGGACAATCCCACGACCTGGAACAACGTGGATGCCGGTTCGATCCGATTCTTTACGTACACCCCGGTCTTCATCGAAAACGAATCAAAACACGAGGGGAATCGAACTGCGACGAGCACAATAAATTCTCCCTAATTTTTCTCCAGCTAGCTTTTAGAATTTCGAAAATTTCCTTTTAACTGCGTATTTCTTGAAGCATCGTAGATTCGGAAAATGTAAGAAAAAGAAAAAGAATCGATTTTTTTTAAAGTAGTAGATTGGACGAAAGCTGATTTTTCGATGTCCTCCGCGAGTTCCGCGAGTTTCAATTTTCTGGAAAAATCGCGAACAAATGTAAATGTTCAGTGAACAAATGTAAACAAATAACATATGTCGAAATGATCGATGCAGGTGGAACAAAATCCCGCAGTAACTAGTTAATATAATCCATTGAATGGTTTCGTGATACTAATGTGTATGTTTCTAGCGTATTCATGTTACACTAGAAACGCCATTACGAAATAGTACGCCTTCTATTGTTGAATTCCCAAATAAAGTAATTTCTCCCTTTGAGAGATCTTTAGCTTGTCGACAAAAATGGACAATATGGGAAGAGGAGATACGATTATTCGAGTCTTGCGGCTCGTGTTTATAGTTATCGATTGTCAACAACTATAAAAATATATAAAAATAATTAACGATATAAATAATAAAACAATGTAATAAAATATATATGATATGTATTTAATTTAATATAATATTTAATATATTTATTTTATACTAATATCAATATATTTCATTTAATATATATTTATATATAAATGAAACAAAATAATAATAATTTATATATAAATAGTAAAACAATATAATAAAATATATATAATATATATTTAATACATTTATTTTATATTAATATCAATATATTTAATTTAATATATATTTAAATATTTAATTTAATACATATTTAAGTAAAATAATACAATAAAATAATATAAAAACGAGCCGCAAGGCTCGAACAATCGTATTTCCTCTTCCCAAATTTTTTCGCGCGCAATCTGAGCGCGAATTAGGGAGAAATTGCTGCTTCGCCAAAGAAGAGAAGTGAAAAAGTTGATGACAAGGATCATTCTAGGGTGTACTTCCGAATAACCTCTGTTGCCGATCGACATGAAATTTGTTGGTCTAAGAGAGGATTGGGAGTAGACTCTATATATGATTACATTTATAATAGTTAGGTTATGTCTAGGTTAGATTTCAGCCAGGACACCTTTAATAAATAATTTTTGATTAATATCTCAAAAGCCAATAAAAACCCGAAGTTAAAATTTTATATTTAGCGTCCATACACCCTTCCCCCTCTTCCCTTAAAAGCTGATACTGATCGACCAGAGAGGCCTTTCGGAAGATTACTCTCATTCTATTCCATCCGTCTTCGTCACTTCGCCGATCCTCCGACGCTCGGCTTTTCTCGAATGATCCGAGAATGGTCGCCGAGGTGTTGAACGTCGGACATTGTTTTAATTCCCATTTCGCGGCCGGTTTAATTCCATTCGACGAGATGATATTTTCGTAACGCGTATTACCCTTGTGTTTTCACGGGGAACTCCCAGCGGGCGAATCCCGCGTTGTCCGGCGCGCATATTAGCTTAATTGAAACGCACCGTTAATATAATTGGTAGTGCGTAACTAACGGACGGAAAAACACCGTTTGCGCCGGTTTAATCTGATAGTTTAATTTATGTCCGGCCGCGTTACGGCTCCGTGTAGCTGTCCCGACGCTGTCGGCCCCCGTTGTTTTGTAAATTGTTTGGTCGCGAATGGGAATTCCCCGGCGTGCGAAAGTCGGGCACGAATGTAACGCGGCAACAACACTTTCAGACGTATCGAAATTTCCCGCCGCACGCGGAAACGCGGATATGCCCGATAGTAACCGATGGCACGGTCGCGCCGATCGCCGATGCGAACGAAGAACCGCCGACACGTATAAATTAATTCACGGAAGCGGCCGGTATCCACGCCCGACAATGAATTTCTCGCGAATAGGACCGCGGAACAAGCGGCGTACGGCAATGTCTACCTTACCGACGTTCAGATTGTCCACAAAAATGGACAATTTGGGAAGAGGAGATACGATTATCCGAGCCTTGCGGCTCGTTTTTATAATTGTTGGCAATTTATAACTATAAAAACAAACCGAAAGGCTCGAATAATCGTATCTCCTCTTTCCAGATTGTCCACTTCTGTGTGGAATCTGAGCGCGAATTAGGGAAAAATTATTGTGTACAGTAAATACTCCCAATTTTTCCTTCAGCTTGTACACAAAAATGGACAATTTGGAAAGGGGAGATGCTATTATCAGAGCCTTGCGGCTCGTTTTTATAATTCTTGACAATTTATAACTATAAAAACAAACCGAAAGGCTCGAATAATCGTATCTCCTCTTCCCAAATTGTCCACTTCTGTGTGGAATCTGAGCGCGAATTAGGGAAAAATTATTGTGTACAGTAAATACTCCCAATTTTTCCTTCAGCTTGTACACAAAAATGGACAATTTGGAAAGGGGAGATGCTATTATCAGAGCCTTGCGGCTCGTTTTTATAATTCTTGACAATTTATAACTATAAAAACAAACCGAAAGGCTCAAATAATCGTATCTCCTCTTTCCAGATTGTCCACTTCTGTGTGGAATCTGAGCGCGAATTAGGGAGAAATTATTGTGTACAGTAAATACTCCCAATTTTTCCTTCAGCTTGTACACAAAAATGGACAATTTGGAAAGAGGAGATACGATTATCCGAGCCTTGCGGCTCGTTTTTATAATTGTTGGCAATTTATAACTGTAAAAACAAACCGAAAGGCTCGAATAATCGTATCTCCTCTTTCCAGATTGTCCACTTCTGTGTGGAATCTGAGCGCGAATTAGGGAGAAATTATTGTGTACAGTAAATACTCCCAATTTTTCCTTCAGCTTGTACACAAAAATGGACAATTTGGAAAGAGGAGATACGATTATCCGAGCCTTGCGGCTCGTTTTTATAATTGTTGGCAATTTATAACTGTAAAAACAAACCGAAAGGCTCGAATAATCGTATCTCCTCTTTCCAGATTGTCCACTTCTGTGTGGAATCTGAGCGCGAATTAGGGAGAAATTATTGTGTACAGTAAATACTCCCAATTTTTCCTTCAGCTTGTACACAAAAATGGACAATTTGGAAAGGGGAGATGCTATTATCAGAGCCTTGCGGCTCGTTTTTATAATTCTTGACAATTTATAACTATAAAAACAAACCGAAAGGCTCGAATAATCGTATCTCCTCTTCCCAAATTGTCCATTTTTGTGGACAATTTACAGCTCAATTACCAAACTAACGAATAATTATTAACCAATGGAATTACCATGGAATTACACAATTACCATAATTAACAAATGTAATGCGCAAGAACAATGTTTCCTAAAACATCATTCTCTCGAGGATCAATTTCGAAGAATACAATTATTCTTTTACAGTGTTTATAATTGTTGACAATCGGTAACTGTAAAATCGTACCTCCTCTTTCCTAAATTATCCAATTTTGTACACAATCTGAGCCTCGATTAGAAAGACTTTACTATATCACGCGAACTACTATATCACTGAAACATTGTTCTTACGCGTTACATTTGTTAATTATGGTAATTGTGTAATTCCATGGTAATTCCGTTGGTTAATAATTTTATTCGTTAATTTGGTGATTGAGCTGTAAATGGAACCGCGACACGCAATACAGTAATGTCTCTCTAATTGACGCTCAGATTGTCCACAAAAATGGACAATTTGGGAAGAGGAGATACGATTATCCGAGCCTTGCGGCACGTTTTTATAATTGTGGGCAATTTATAACTATGAAAATAAACCGCAAGGCCCGAATAATCGTTCCGAATAATCGTTAGGCTCCTCTTTCGAAATTGTTCATTTTCGTGCACAATCTGTGCTTAAGTTAGGGAGACATTACTGTACTCCGAGTGCATAAAGATTCCCAAATTGCTGCCCGGATCTGCGCCGGTTTCGCTGTGCAGCCGTATAGAGTATTTCAAGTATATCAATGGGAGGCGAACTTGGCTGGCGCGCAGCGACCGAGCCAACGAGCGTGCGGTGCTCGGTTCCGCTGATTGGTTCGGCCGCCTAGCGCTTGACGAGCTCTCGCCTCTCATTGGTCAGTGCTTTTTCGTTAATAACTCGTAAACGATGCCTCGGAGAAAATTTTTGTAAAGGAAAAAATTGCTTTAAATCACCTCAGGAATCCCTCGTTTCTCGGAAATACCATAATTTTGGGATACCCTGTATATTATCGTTGATAGAGATAGCAGTGCGGACTACAGTAATGTCTTCCTTATTAACGCTCAGGTTGTGTACAAAAATTGACAATTTGGGAAGAGGAGATACGATTATTCGAGCCTTTCGGTATGTTTTTATAGTTATGAATTGTCAACAATTATAAAAACGTGCCGCAAGGCTCGGATAATCGTATCTCCTCTTATCAAATTGTCCATTTTTGTGGACAATATGAACGTCAGTAAGCGAGACATTACTGTATGTACAAGGTGTTCGGCTAACTGCGGCGCGAAGTGCCGCGAACGGTCTCCCGTGCTACACACACATAAAGTTGAAGATTTTACGCCCGCCGCGGTGTAACAAACAAGAAACGTAACTTAAGAAGCTCGAAACGGAATGGCCAGTAAAATATCAACTTCCCGCGGAACGCTTCCGAGCTCGTGAATCCTTTGAAATCATAATAAATGGGGCTGATTACGAACGTTACGGTAATGGACGATAAAGCTGCAGGATTTCTTATATATATACGGTTTTAACCTTTTCGAAGCGTGGTCCTTTAGAAACGGACACTAGCCGCGTATTTCGACGCGACGTTTAAATTGTTTTGTACGTGATCTTTGACATATTATATAATATTTGTATATAGTATTATGTAATATTTGTACGTGATATTTGACATGTATACAGGGTGTCCCAAAAATGTCTCGCAATCCGAAAGTAGGGGATTCCTGAGGTGATTTGAAGCAACTTTTTCCTTAGCGAAAATGCAATCCGCGGCTTCGTTTACGAGTTATTAACGAAAAACAGTGACCAATCAGAGGCGAGATCATTTGGCGCGAGACGGCCGAGCCAATGAGCAGAACTGGACACCGTGCACTCGTTGGCTGGGCCGCCGCGTGCCAGCCGAGCTCGCCTCTTATTGGTCAGTGTTTTTCGTTAATAACTCGCAAACGAAGCCATGGAGAAAATTTTCGCAAAGGGAAGAGTTGCTTCAAATGACCTCGGGAACCTCCCATTTCCGGATTGCGAGACATTTTCGGGACACCCTGTAGAATATTTGACATCGTGATATTCACCCTTTGCGCTCCAAAGTACGTTCTTCCTTTTATTTCAGAATTCGCTGTAACACAAATTGAGCATACCCTTGTACGTAACGTTGCGACCTAATTTGAACTAGAAATACTATAATTGTTCTGTGTGCCGCGTAATCGCGTAATTTACCAGGTAATTTAATCGCGCATATAATGCGAGTCGTGAAAATGAGCTATTAATGCGAGACTGACTCGAAAATATAGAAATATAAATTATATAATAATTTGTAAATAATTATATATAATATAAAAGTGCTGGCTATTATAAATTCTGTTACAATCAATACTTAGTACAATTACTTAGTACGATGCAATAGGCTTTTAACATTCGGATACCATTTTAACCCTTTGCACTCGACCGGCGACTCCGAGGCGACACTAAAAATTGCTGTACCATTTTTTAAAAGAATTTTATTATTTTTGCATTCGAGAAATTGTTAAGAAATAGAAATCTCTTCTGTAAGCAAACAGGTTAAATTTCCAATGCATCGAATAAAAATAACCATACCGTATGGAAATACTGTAGCTTGAAACGAATGCTTTCATTTTCGGGTTGCAATAGCCGGTCGCTAAAGACGTATTTTGAGACATTCTCGAAAAGTAAAATAATATATAAATAATAAATACACAGCGAATTTTATCGATTTATGACGATGAAATATAGAATTGTAGAAAGTTTCGAGGAATCTGAAAATGTCGACGAATTGTTCTCAACTAATTAAGATCGTTAAAGGAAGAAAGAAACTTCCAACTCGCTGCAGCTTCTTGCGATTCGTGCAGACAATTCTTCGAAAATAAATCGAATAAAAATAAAAAAAATAATCGAAAACGGATTATATCGGTTGGAACGTTTGAACCAAAAATTGACGAATTCTTGGAAGGGAAACATTTTCCCACGATCCGCTCTTTCTGTAGAAACTAAGAATCACCGGTAAATAGCTGTATATCCAACTTTAGGAGAGGAAGCAGCGCTACTTAATGCATGCTTCTTGAATACCCGATTGCCTATTTTGGGAGACATTCAGCGTAACAGAGTACACTGCGGCGGATACGTCAGCGAAAAATCGAAAACCGATACGGGCGCTGAAGTACCCCGCGTGGGGTCCTTCATAATTTCCACGATCCTCGTCCTGCAATTTCGTGTTTCTAACTCGAAGGATGTAACGACATCGCCGGATACGCGGCTCGACGTTATCGCGATCGAGGTTTTTATCGGACGGCATCGAGAGGCAATATCGATGCGTGTCGGATGCTTACGACCACTCCGCCGTTACCCGGAGGCGAGCAGGCGAGCCTAAACAGCCCCTCGATTTTTAGCCGATTGAAAATAACGATTAAACGTGGGACAAACGTGCTCGGTTATGCCCCTCTCCCTTTCTTTCTCTCCGCCTATCTCTTTCCATTTTTGGCTCTCTCGCTCGCTTTCTCTCTCTTTCTCGCTTTCTCTCCCTCGCTTTCTCCCTCTCGCGTTATCTCTCTCTAGCTTTCTCTCTTTCGCTTTCTCTCTCTCGCTCGCTTTCTCTCTCTCTCCCGCTTTCTCTCGCTCGCTTTCTTTCTCTCTCCCGCTTTCTCTCTCTCGCTCGCTTTCTCTCTCTCGCTTTCTCTCCCTCTCGCTTTTTCTCTGTATCGCTTTCACTCTCTCACTTTCTCTCTCTCGCTCGCTTTCTCTCTCTCACTTTCTCTCTCTCGCTTTCTCTTTCTCGCTTTCTCTCTCTTGCTCGCTTCCTCTCTCTTTCTCGCACGTTATCTCTCTCTCGCTCGCTTTCTCTCTCTCTCGCACTCTCTCTCTCGCTTTCACTCTCTCCCGCTTTCTCCCTCTCTCTCGCTCTCTCTCTCCCTCTTTCTCTGTGTCCCTCGCTTTCTCTCTCTCTCTCTCTCTCTCTCTCTCTCTCTCTCTGTGTGTGTGTGTGTGTCTCGCTTTCTCTCTCCGTCTTTGTGTGTTTCTCTCCCTTTTTCTCTCCCTTTCTGCCTCTCTGTCCCTCCCTTTATCTCTCTCTCACTCTCGCTCTCTCCCTCCTGGTCTCTCTTGGTCCCTCGCTCTCAGCATTCATCGAGCGGAAAAAAGTGGATTCGGCCGAAATGGAAAACGGAATGGAATCATGCTGCGGCGGTGGATACTCGCAGCTGGGATTGATTGAATTTGATTCGCGGGAAAAATGACGAAATTAATTTCGCTGCAGGATTTAGCTGAGGGCTGGACAGGATTAGAAAAGGGTGTCATACCGTGGAATTGGTAGCGATTAAATTTCAGTGGGGCTGGCTTTGCCTTTTGCTGCCTTACGCTTGAATTCCATGGCCGTTCGCTAGTTTTTGCACGAATCCCGAAATTAAACGGATAGGAGCTCTGACATTAAAAATAGTTTCTGAACTCCGGTGCTTCGATATTCAAGTACCGACGAAGAAACACGATGACAATCTTTTTATCGGTGATAACTAGACTGCGGATCTTTATGCAGAATAAAACTTATCCACGTTATATTTAAGAAATATAAATTAGATAAAAGTATACTTGCTTTTTTGACGATCGTGGTTAGTTGGAAATAATGTCAAAGTGTCCTTAAATTATTCTAATGTTTTTCTAGTTTTGTGTTCATTTTTGGCATAAACGCATAAAATCCGCAATCTATTGATAACTGTATCTATAAAGATACGTAATTGTCTTTTATAATTATATTTATAATTATTTGTATTTATTGTAATTATAATATTATAATATTTATTATAATTGTAATACTATAATATTTATTATAATTGTAATATAATATTTACTATAATTATAATAGTATAATATTTATTATAATTATTATATTTATAATTATAATATGTAGACTGCGGATCTTTATGGAAAATACAATTGTTGCTGTTTTTAAATACTGAAATAAAAATATACTTTTCGTGGAAACTCGAGTAAATATAGTAATTTCTCTCTAATTCGCACTCAGATTGCGCACAAAATTGAACACTTTGGAAAAAGGAGATGCGATTATTCGAACCTTGCGTCTCGTTTTTACAATTGTTGTCAATCGGCAGGCTTGGCAATTGGACAATACTCGAATAATCATACCTCCTCCTCCCAAGTTGACCATTTTTGAGTACAAGCTAAAGGTCGATCAGGGAGAATTTACTGTACTTGGAAATTCAACACTACAAAGCGTACTATTTCGTAATAGCGTTTCTAGCGTAACACGAATACGCTAGAAACATACACATAAGCATCACGAATCCATTCAGTGGATTCTATTAATACCGAGGGATTTTGTTCCGCCTGCATCGATCATTTCAACATACGATATATTTTGTCCACGATTTTTCCACAAAATTGAAACTCGCGAAACTCGCGGAGGACATCGATAAATCAGCTTTCGTCCGATCTGATACTTCAAAAAGAAAAAAAACAATTGATTCTTTTCATTTTTCACTGTCCACGATGCTTCAAGAAATACGCAGTTAAAAGGAAATTTCGAAATTCTAAAAACTAGCTGTAAAAGAATTCGGGAGAAATTACTGTGCTTCGATTACTGTACGTTGATTCTCCCTCGTAGTTCGATTAGTTTCCAATGTACATGCACGTAAATCATTGTAAATCGAATTCTCAGAAATCGATCCAAAATCATCCGAATACGGATGCGCTTGTTCAGAACGAAAGTCGAAAGAACGTGTTCGTAGAGCGCGGAACGGTGGAACATAAATCCCCGTTGGAGCAACGTAAATGGCCATCCAGCGGCCCCAAGTAACGAAGACAAATAAGATTGCTGGTCGAGAGAACAGCGTCTGCAATATTTTCGCGGCGCTACCTGGAAAATCGCGTTTCCCCGGGGTCGGCGCCGCGTCCCTCCGAAGGGTGCTGGTATTGTGTTCTCGTCGAAGGACGAGGAGAGAGAGTGCCGCGCGTCGAAAGTATCGGAACGCCGGGAACGAGCAGCATGCGAAAGCGCGTATCCGTACTCCACCACATGCAATCCCGGACACAATAACAGCAACGGTGCCTTTGGTGCTCAAACGGGAGCGCGGACCGGCTAACGATTTCTCTCGGAATTCCCGGCGGGATCTCCAGCGAAACGTACACCCCCGAAAAGGGTTAACGAAGCCCCGGTAAACGGATGTTCCGCGCAACGGAACGCAGTGACGCCGCTGCACGGACCGATGCGCCGATTGACTTTAATTCGGCTGCACGCAAATGAATTGCTTTAGCGTCCGGACAGTAATCGCCTTTGGAAATCCTGCTCGCAAGCTAGACGCGGAGGTCACGCCGCAATCGAATGTCGTGCGCGGCGTGGAAATCGTTGCTCGATCGGCGGTGTATCTTCTCCTCTCGGCCGTTAGCCTAAACGAAAGTAGCAAACTGTTGCGCCCCGAAGTCGGCGCGCGCGCGCGCGCCGCCGCCGATCAATCCGCGATCGCTGCGAGATCTCAAAGACAAATGGCTCTTTGTGGAGCCGCCCTGCGACGCTGCAAGCAGAAACCCTGTTCCGAAACCCTATCGGAGGTAAACTAACGTGTTCTGTTTGTTCAGGCCGCGGGTAATCCTCAGGAATTGCTTAGATGCCTGAGAGAAGTGCCACTGAACGCGCTGGTCTCGGTGCCGGTGAAGGGCCTGGAATTCGCCCCCGCGTTTGGCCCGAGCATAGACGGCGTCGTGATCGATCCCGGTGATCCAGAAGATCAGGACTTCACCCTGCAAGTCGACACGATCAATACGCTGAACAATATCCTGCTGCGGAAGGACGCCGCAGCCAAACTATCCAGGTATTGCCGATGAACTTTGTCCCTTTGGGAGACCTACGGGTCTCCCTCGGTTGCATGTCGAAGCAGCCTAATCTTCCCCCACCACTCGTCGTCTCTTTTTCTTCTGCATTTATCTGTGTTTTTATGTTCTCGGTATAAAGTTGTTTAAAAGTAACGAGATCTTGCTGTAACCGATTCGTTTTGAAGTTACTGACGATTTGACTGCGGATCTTTATGCGAGATAGAAGCGTGCGTTCCAAGTCGATTCTTTGGAACGGAAATGCAACGGTGCTCTAACGCTCTCTAACATTCATTTTCACTCGAAGCCGAATTAACAAAAGTTTAAAATAGTTTTTCCGATCCACGGGTTTTCCATTTTATATGACCTGGTGCATTTTGTGCATATGAAATTGAATATTGTGACCCGTGCAACACGTTACGCTTTCAACAGCTCTTCAATTATAAACAAATTCGATCGATAAAATTACTTTCAGACGTGACATAACAATTTTCAACGGCGCCGCGGATTCGTCACTCGAGTGAAAAGGATTAATGTCTTCACAGTTTTATTTTTCGCCTTTAATCGTCAATAACAGTGGTATAAACTTTGGTTGTTTGTTAAATCATCTCTCAAAATATTTGACACATCAGTTTTGACCACTCTGTGCATGTTGAGATACTTAAAACGAAACACCTGATAGGTTTCTGCAAATTTTTATACAAAAAGGAGCTGTTTAAACCTCTTTTATACATTGCTCAAGATAAAAATTTTCTTTTCTTTTATATATCTACTATAAAAGTTTCAATTACCTTTTGTCTATGTTGCACATGTATACCTTTAAATTGTGACATTATAAGTGAAACATAATTTGTTAATTTAAAAGTAAGAAGCAAAAGCAAAAATCGCTGATTATGCCACGATCTTTTATGTAGCTATTTCTCGGGAGCATGTGCGGGTCAAATAAAAATTGTTTCACTTTGAAATACCATTATATGGTAGATATACACACAACGTGAAAGAGAGAATTGAAATTATTTACTAATTAATAGAAACGTCTTCGTAGAAAACCAGCAACACTTCGCAGCCGCTGCGTTGATTATTAATGAAACTTGAACAAGGAAGTAGGTGAGGAAAACATGATCATACACAAATTTAATAATTCTTATGAATAACAGATTCTCTTTCTGCAATTCAAATGCCCTGTCGCGACATTTCACATCTAGACTCTTGACTTTGCTTCTACATGCATAGTGAACCAAAGGTATGAAATCAGACCTGTTCATTCCGTACCACATATTTCATTCACATTCTGAGTCTGAGATTTAATTGCATGTTCCAATACACAATGTTGTAGCGTATAACGTTAAAAATATAACTAATAATTTATCCTCGCGTTATCTTGCTGAGAAATAAACAAGCTCAAGTACATGTCTCTGCTGATTGTACCAAATTATTAATCAAAAATCGACACCCGGGAATCACAAATGAAATTAAATTAAATTCCGTGTATTAAATTTTACATTCCAATTATACAGAATGTTCCAAAAATGTCTCGCAATCTAGAAATTGGGCATTCCTGAGATCATTTCAAGTAACTTTTTCCTTAGCGAAAATGCAATCCACGATTTCGTTTACGAGTTATCAACGAAAAACAATGACCAATGAGAGACGAGCGCGAGGCTGGCGCGAGGCGGCCGAGCCAACGAACGGTCGAAGCCCAGTTCCGCTGATTGGCTCGGCCGCCTAGCGCTAAGCGAGCTCGCCTTTCATTGGTCAGCGTTTTTCGTTAATAACTCGTAAACTAAGCCACGGATTGCACTTTCGCTAAGGAAAAAGTTACTTCAAATCACCTCAGGAATCGCCTCTCTTCGGGTGTTAACATAATTATGGAACACCCTGTATAAGTGCGCGCTCTGAAAAGAAGGCGCCGCAGCTAACTGGTTAAAACCTCACGAAACAATTTCTTTCGCAGCAGAACTTTATTCTCTTGTTAATAAATCCCTGCAAGGAACAGAAAATTGATGCAGGGTGTCTCTCTTAATCGCGACAACTTAAATACCATCTTCAATTGTAGCTAACCGATTAACAGTTAATTGAACAATTCGCTTTCATCCGTCTCGTCCGATGGCTTACATTATATTGGGTTGGCAACTAAGTAATTGCCGATTTCAGTTATAGATGTCTCTCACTCCCACTTCTGTCTCTTATACACATCTAGATGTGTATAAGAGACAGCGGTATAATATTGGGTTGGCAACTAAGTAATTGCCGATTTCAGTTATAGATGTCTCTCACTCCCACTTCTGTCTCTTATACACATCTAGATGTGTATAAGAGACAGCGGTATAATATTGGGTTGGCAACTAAGTAATTGCCGATTTCAGTTATAGATGTCTCTCACTCCCACTTCTGTCTCTTATACACATCTAGATGTGTATAAGAGACAGCGGTATAATATTGGGTTGGCAACTAAGTAATTGCCGATTTCAGTTATAGATGTCTCTCACTCCCACTTCTGTCTCTTATACACATCTAGATGTGTATAAGAGACAGGACTTTCTACGAGCGTGGAATTTTCAAGTTGTCGGAGAGACGGCGAAAGGTCATCGAACAAAACGGAAAATACATTACAAATTAAACTTCGTTCCAAGTAAAAAAAAATTTCTATTTCATTGAACAAATCGGCAATTACTTAGTTGCCAACCCAATATTATACCGTTGGCGCATTATATTATACCTATTCTTCATCTTCGACAGTGCTCAATCGACGATCGCGAGTCAAACGGTCCTAAGGCCATCTTGATGGCCCAAGGCCATCGCGCTCCTAATCAGCAGCAAATCAATGGGACGATCAACAAATTTCGATTCGACTTGACCAAACCGGCCACTATGAACGTTCACGGATCGGATTACACGTAATCTGTATTGACAGATCGTGGCTTGACGCGCGATCGTACCGTACCGTGACCGTCTACCGTGAATCCGGCTTAATATTAATCTGTTCTATTCGTCAGGAAACCTGGCCGAACGGTTTCAACGGGCAGTGTATTTCTTCCATCGCGGGCGCGTTCGCCAATCTCTCTCTCTCTGCCGGCGAAAACACAGCTCGAACGTCGGGCAGAAAGGAGAATCGGTTAACGCGTGCTGGAAACTCATTACTGGACTTCGGTCGAGGGTGGAGGCGATGGCGAGGTCCGGGGGGTTGCTTTCGCTCGCTTCGACGCTGTGATAAATAGAACGTTTCGCGAGCCTGCCCCCGCGCCCGACCTCGCCCCTCGCCAGTCATTCTATGAATTCCTTCTATTTCTTCGTTTCGCCATCGGCCACCACCACCATCGCCGCCCTCCCGCGCCTTTCAAGCCCCGCCGCGCTAGACGACACCCCTCGTAAACTTTTTCGAATACATTGTCCCGCATCCCTCTTTCTCGGTTTTCTTTCGGCCACGGCCGTCCATTATCTTCCTGCCCTTTGTACCCACCCGGTTCCTTTATTTCTCACCCTTATATTCAACCCCCGCGTCCTGTCGCGTCCTGCGACCCCGACGACGACGCGGCCTCCTCTCGTTTCGACCTCGTTCGAACCGTTCGCATTATTTCCTTCTTCCTTTTTTTTTTTTAACTGTGATCCTCGTTCGTCCGCGCCGGATATACTACTTTTAATTACTGCGTTTTTGTCGCGCTAACTCGCCCCCGGCTCGCGCCGTTGCCAGAAACCCCCGACCAGGTCTCGAAACACCGGTCCCCTCTTTGGAAAAACAGTCTGGCAATCGTGCGGCAACGGGGCGGATTACATACTCTGATGATTCGAAACGGTGGAATTTTTTTTCAACGATACTTAGCGAAATCATGGCAACGTACGACTTTGTTCGAGATTACTCGGGATCAAGTAGTCCGCGATGCGGCGCACGACTTTTTGTTTCTTTTTTTTGGTATTTCGAGAGTTTAGTTTATTGTGGATATTTAAAAGGTGATTCTTTTTAGAAAGGTTTTTCGTACGTCGAACGGCGCCGTTTATTTAACGATTGAAAATTCTGAATATTTACGCGTCGCATTTCTGGATAATGCGTTTCCGTCGATAAATCAACGGGAATTTTTCTGTCGAAACGTTACGGAACGTTGCGATAATATCGTGTTACAGGAAGCGAGATTTTGGCACAAACGAATAACATCGTCGTTTTGTAACGTTTCGGTGTGAAATGTTGAAAGTGTAAATTTTAGTTTTTGCACTTCGAAAAGTTGGAATTTTTCAATTGATAGAAACAGTGACCAACGACAGTGTTCGGACACATTTTAAGAGATAATAACCTCTTCAAAACTGAACTAAATGAATTGAACCTTTTTCGATGATAGAAGGACTAGTTTACTTGGCGTTGGCAAAAAAGTCTTTTTTTTTTAATTTTGCTATTACTTAGAATGAAAAGAAAAGGTTATTAAAATTATTATGTTAATAATCGTTTTCTAACTTTTTTATTCGAGCCTATAACGAAAATTTATAAAATGCCTGTCGTAGATCTCGGCAACTTATAATTTATAATAATCTCGGCTGAAAATTTGATCGAATTCGGTTAATCCAGAGTCGAGTCGTTATTTTGATTTATTTTATTATAACAGTTGAAGGATTTTAAGAACTGCAGATTTCTTACAGCTTCCGGTCAAAATCGTGATAAAATTGCGATTCTTGCGATCTTTAATTTGTTGTAACTCCTAACAACGTGCACCTATTTCAATAAAATTTTCAACATGCATATAAATTACCGTGAGATCTACGAATGATATTTTTTAAATTTTCGTTATAGACTCAGATAAAAAAGTTAAAAAAAACAAGAGTTTTCTACTTTTTTGTCATTCCAAGTAATAGCAAAATTAGAAAAAAAAAGCACTTCAGTCATCGTCCAATAAAAAGTCATCCTCTATCGTCTAAAAAAATTTCAAGTCATTTAGTTCAGTTTTGTCAAGGTTATTGGGTTCTAAAAGGTGTACGAACACTTTTGTGGGCCACTGTACGTATTTCCGAGAAAAGTTCTGAAACTTGACTTATTTTTATATTTTTACACGCCGCAGAATGTTTGGGATATTTACGTGAACGATTTCTTGGTACCAAGAGAAATGTTTCCGGAATGTTTGCGGTGTGAGAAAACGGAGTCGAACTATTTTTGCGATGGCATCTATTTGTCTAGCAATTAATTGAATTGGGACGGGATATCGGAAAAACAAGTTTGATTTGACTCGCAGCGAATATTTATATGAGGACAGAGTGAAAGGGTACTCTACAATCTATTACAAACAGGGCTGTGTATATTTACGAACCAACAGCGATGTGTTTCGACAGGATTTTTCTGTTCGCAAATAACTAACGAATATGCATCGGAGTGTGTGGCGATATTAACGAGGGAATCTATTTACCATTAAATATTTCTGGAATAGTAGCCGCGCTCTCACTGCGTGTTTATTCGATCATTGCGGATCGAAATGATTAGTAAACACGAACAACGTTGGCCGTAATGAACGCTGCCTTCCGCGCTGTCATCCGTCAACATGATATTATTGGGTGTTCAAATTGATTCATTGCCTTCTTTAACGCTAGATTTACGGAACCCGTCAAAATGACGGGTCATTAATTTTTTAATTTACGATTGCAATTCATATCGCAAAGATACATTGAACAGGTCGCCTACTTAGCTAAGATTACTAAAGCCCTGTTATTTTGTTATACATCTTGGAATAACCGGGTTATTAACGCTAGATTCACGGAACCGTCAAAATGACGGGTCATTAATTTTTTAATTTACGATTGCAATTCATATCGCAAAGATACATTTATGAGTTATTTATTCCATTTATATATGCTACTTACGGCAAATGTTACGATAACACTTGTTAAAAATCAGAATAAATGTCTCATTGTTACTTTTATAAACTAATATAAAACAGCTAGTTTTTGTGCTCAGTAAATCTAGTGTTAAGAACGAAGAAATGCTAATCACAACGTATCCATAAAAGAGAAATCGTAGTGCATATAATATTGAAATGTAACAATGTAGTAACGTTGTAACGTAGCGTAGTGCAATTAACATCGTAGTCTTGCAAAAATACTCTACAGGATATCCCAAAAATTGTCTCGCAATCCGGAAATAGCGGGTTCCTCGGATCATTTGAAGCAACTTCTTCCTTTACAAAAATTTTCTTCGAGGCACCGTTAACGAGTTATTAACGAGAAACAGTGACCAATAAGAATCGAGTAGGGCTGACGCGAGGCGGCCCAGCCAACCAGCGCACGAAACCCAGTTCCGCTCAATGGCTCGGCTGCTTCGCGCCATCTGAGCTGGGATTCGACCGCCTCGACCGCTGGCGCCGTTGGCTCGGCCTGCTCGCGCCAGCTGTGCTGGGATTCGACCGCTCGACCGCTGACGCTGTTGGCTCGGTCACCTCGCGCCAGCCGAGCTCGCCTCTCATTGGTCACTGTTTTTCGTTAATAACTCGTTAACGGTGCCTCGGAGAAAAGTTTTGTAAAGGAAAAACTTGCTTCAAATGACCCGAGGAACCCGCCAATTTCGGATTGCGAGACATTTTTGGGACACCCTGTATACGGCTGCACTGCGAAACCGGCGCAGATCCGGGCAGCAATTTGGGAATCTTTATACACTCGGAGTAATGCGCGTTAGCTCAGAAATCCCTAATTTCCCAGAAGTAATATAATTTTGGGAAATAAATAAATAAATGAATAACATAATTTTTCGTCGAAGAGATTTTTAGAAGTGATATTTTTAGAGTCACCAATGATTTCAGGTACGATCTAATGATCGGCGTAGTGCGCTCGGAGGCGTACTTCTCGCTGACTGCCACCGACGCGCAATACGGCATCGAGGCCGACAGAAGGACGAAGATTCTCAGGGAATTCGTTCGGAACACGTACACGTACCACCAAGCAGAGATCCTGGCGACGATCATCAACGAGTACACGGACTGGGAGCGGCCGGTGCAGCATCCGGTCAACATAAAGTGAGAATGTTTCCCTTGAAAAAAGAAAAAATAAGAATCGCGAATTACATCTGAGAACGCGCCCGAATTACACAGTATTCAGATTTCAATTTTCGATCGGGGATAAAAGGATATCTTTCCAATTTTCCAGGGACGAAACGCTGGAAGCTTTAGGAGATGCGAACACGGTGGCGCCGGCTACGAGGACCGCGGACCTCCACAGTCAATCTCGTCGAAACTCTTACCTCTATGTATTCGATTACCAGACGAAATTCGGCGACTACCCTCAGGTACGTCTTAAAAGTCATAATATATTGGGATGGCAGTAAAGTAATTCGGGTATTTCAATGTTAAATGAGACTCAACTTTTTCTGTACAAGAAATGAACTTTAATCGGTCAAATATTTTGCATTCTGTTCGATGACCTTCTGCCATTTTTTTGGTAACTTCGTGATTCCGCGCTCGTAAAACTTCTGGTCTCTATCAGTAAGAAACTCAATGCGATTCGAGGCTATCGTTATTATTGAAATTTTTACCATTTAAAAAGTTTTGTACACTTCGAAGTAAATGATAAGTCGTTGGTGCAAGGTCGGGACTATATGGAGGATGCGACATCACTTTCCAACCAAGCTTCAATAATTTCGTACACGTTGTTAAAGATGCATGAGGCCTCGCATTGTCGTGGTGGAACACGATTCCTTTGTGATTTGTCAATTCTGGCCTTTTCACTTTGATCGCTTCCTCCAATTTCATAAGTCGTCGGCAGTGACCATCCGAGTTGATCGTTTGGTTGCTTGGTAGCAGCTCAAAATTCGCAACACCTTTATAGTCCCACCAAATTAACAGCATGATCTTTTTCCGATGCAATTCAGCTTTCGATATGGTTTCTGCTGGTTCGTCACGCTTGGACCATGACCATTTTCGATCAATGTTATTGGAAACGATCCATTTTTCATCACCGGTGATAATTCGTTCCAAAAAAGGGTCGATTGCATTACGTCGATCGCAGTCGATCGCAGATACCGATTCGTTGCGTTAAGTGAATTCCTTTCAATTCATGCGGAATCCAAACATCGAGCTTCTTAACAAGTCCAAGACATCTTACGTGACATTCGATTGTTGCGTGTGACGCATTTAACCTTTTTGCAATCTGTGGTACAGTTATACGACGAATCGATTCAATTATGGCTTTGATTTTATCATCGTCAACTTTTCGGAAGGTCGACCAGAACGTTGGTCATCTTCAAGTGAAAAATCTTCGGAACGAAATTTTTTAACCAATTCTGACACGCGCGTTCTGTTCAGCAATCGACGCCATAAGCTTCGCATATCTCTTTGCGAGCCTCGGCCGCTTTCTTGCCTTCATGAAAATAAAAAAGTAGAACGCGTCGAGAATATTCATTTTTGCACTCCATGTTAAAATCGACAGCAAGCTATCAGTTATAAACAAAACTGCACGGAATTTGTTTCTATTGTAACCTAAACGTGTCGACTACCACACACACACACATAAAGCTGAAGACAACATAATTATAATCTTAGTAAAAGAATGATAATGTAAACTTAATGCTATCTATTGGAGCAAAACGAAATTACTTTCTTGCCAAACCAATAAGATTCCACCGTCGAAGATTTCGTTTACCGCGAAATTGCGTGCGCGAGCGTCGGAAGTCGGAGAACCCTCGCACAATGGCATCCGAGAATGGAGGCCAGGAGGTGTCCGTTATTTAATCAGAGAGCCGGTTATTAACCGACGTGCGCGTATTTTATTACTAACGATGATGCATCGCGCGCTGTTTCTCAGCGCACTCGCCCCGCCTCTCCGTTCGTTTTAAATTTAAATCATATCCTACTCGGAGGACGCGCATATTTCCTGAATCATTGTCGGCGAAACTCGCTTTTTACTGTTCGAGAATGTCAGCTTTTGGTGTTAAGTAAAAACTGTCGCCGTTCGATCGATAATTATTTTCTCGATGAGCTGTGCGCAGCGGAGAAAGTCAGTTATACTAGCCTAGTCGAGAGCAAATTGCAATTGCATTGCATTGCCGGGAACAAGTGGCAATTTTTTATAAGGTTCGCGAATTCGCGCATCAAATTTTAATATCGTTACAAATATCGTTATGATATATATATATATATAATAATATAATATATAATATATGTAATAATAATATAATAATATATTATATATAATATTATAATATACATTATATAATAATATATTATATATATTTACAATAATATAAATATATAATATATATATAATGCAAATATTCTTATGAATCTCCGGACTTAATTATTTACTCGATTAACTTCCGACGGAATCAGTCGACTCACTGTTTATAATGCCAATTCCTCCGATTTCGATAAGTACAGTAAATTCTCCCTAATTGACGCTCAGATTGTGCACAAAAATAGACAATTTGGGAAGAGGAGACACGATTATTCGAGCATTGCGGCTCACTCGTTTTCATAGTTGTTGACGATCGGTAACTATAAAATCGTATCTCCTCTTTCCCAAATTGTCCAATTTTGTATCTTTACCGTATCACGGTTTCGAATGCATTGGGGAAAAGCTGCGCGTTTGCGAATACATAATTCGAGCCGGATCGCTTATTTTCAACGATTCGGCGACGCGATTTCCATCGTTTAAGAATGGAAAATGCTTCTTAGACGACAGCTCGGAGCCAATTCTCAAATCGGATAACTTGGAATTGGCTGAGGGGCGGAGAGAGCTGGGGAGGTAAGTCGTTTAAGACTCTCGGNTAGACAATTTGGGAAGAGGAGACACGATTATTCGAGCATTGCGGCTCACTCGTTTTCATAGTTGTTGACGATCGGTAACTATAAAATCGTATCTCCTCTTTCCCAAATTGTCCAATTTTGTATCTTTACCGTATCACGGTTTCGAATGCATTGGGGAAAAGCTGCGCGTTTGCGAATACATAATTCGAGCCGGATCGCTTATTTTCAACGATTCGGCGACGCGATTTCCATCGTTTAAGAATGGAAAATGCTTCTTAGACGACAGCTCGGAGCCAATTCTCAAATCGGATAACTTGGAATTGGCTGAGGGGCGGAGAGAGCTGGGGAGGTAAGTCGTTTAAGACTCTCGGCAATTTTTCAGCGGGGCGGTGGCGCCATTTTCGCATCTAACATTGTGCCGCAGGGCGTATGTTTCCCGTGAAAAACCAGAGCCGCGAATTTTTGTGGAACGGTGACCAGGTTATTTTCCGTCTAATTACCTTTTTCTCGGCGTACGAAGCCTCTAATTTTCAGCTGTCCGCGGCCAACTGTCCTTCCGTCAACGCTCCGCAACAGTTTTAGCAACAAAACGAACAGGACCGACGGGAAATGTTTTTTAAATAAGCCCATTGTGCGTTCTGATACGCGATACTTTTTTCTTTTGTAAACTCGTGGAAAGTAACAGCGCTTGTAGTTTATATCCGTGTACGACAAGACTAATTAATGCTTGACGAACGAAAATTCTTTATCGTATCGTACCATCGTTATCACTTTTGAGTTTTATCTGAATTATGATATATTATTCAAATGCAAGAAAATAATTACTTATTAATTTCTTCAATTGGCGTAAATTCTCCATAACTTCTCCGTAACTTTTTTATTACTCATTTTTTGCCACGATTCGAAGGCAATTTGGAGACCATGTGAGACGATTCTAAGGCAATTCGGAGGCTACATGACATGATTCCAAGACAATTCGGAGACTACATGTCACGATTTGCAGACAATTCGGAGACTACGCGACACGATTCGAAGGGAATTCGCAGGGCACATGGCACGATTTTAAGGCAATTCGAAAGCCACATGACACGATTCCAAGGCAATTCGGTGGCCACGTGACACGATTCGAAGGCAATTCGGAGTCCACATACTTTTATAAACTAATATAAAACAGCTGTTTTTTGTGCTCCGTAAAACTAGTGTTAAATATCAGGAATTTATGGAAAATCGAAGAAGTTTGTGAATACTTCTTACACTGTACAGTGATCTGCCATACTCGGAAACATCAGAGGGATGTTTACGAGTGTCCCGCGATCGAATCTGATGTCTGGAACTTGTATCTTTCACATCTCCACCGTCGAGACAACAGTTTCAAACCAAAGAGAGAGAGAGAGGGAGAGAGAGAGAGACAGAGTGGGAGAGAGTGAGAAAGCGAGAGACAGAGAAAGAGAGAGGAAGCGAGCGAGTGAAAGAGGGAGAGAAAGCGAGAGGCAGAGAGAGAGAGAGAGAACGCGAGAGACAGAGACAGAGAGAGAGAGAGAGAGAGAAACCGAGTGACATATAGAAAGAGAGAGAGAGGGAGAGAGAGAGAGAAAGAGAGAAAGCGAAAGACAGAGAGAGAGAGAGAGAGAAACCGAGTGACACATAAAAAGAGAGAGGGAGAAAGAGAGAGAAACCGAGTGACACATAGAAAGAGAGAGGGAGAGAGAGAGAGAAACCGAGTGACACATAGAAAGAGAGAGGGAGAGAGAGAGAGAGAGAAACCGAGTGACACACAGAAAGAGAGAGAGAGAGAGAGAGAGAGAAACAGAGTGACATATAGAAAGATAGAGGGAGAGAGAGAGAGAAAGCGAAAGACAAACACACAGAGAGAGGGAGAACGCGAGAGACACAGAGGAAGAGAGAGAGAGTGGGAGGGTATGAATTTCGCCAGGAACGTTCGATTATTATTACCGTGCACGGGGGTGTATATTACGCGGTAAATCTTGCGCGCGTCGTTTCGCGCAGGAAACGGATACGCGGGGGGGAAATTGTAAAATTCCGGGGAGCGCGCGATCGGTTGTGTGTCACGTTAGAACTCGGCGTTTCCGTTGGGAGTTTCGGTTCGCCGCGGATGTCCCGGTTATCATCGACGATAACGTTACGATTTCCGAGGAAGCGGGTCGCGCGACCGCGCGCGTCGGAAATTGCCGCGATAAGGGTGGCGGGTGCCGGGGCGGGGCGGGCGGGGCTTGTTTAAAACCGGATTGAAAAAGGAAACCGCGGGGCTCGTGGGTACGGTCGGCGACGACGTTAATTGCGAAGAAACGCCCGGAGGGTGGGGTATTTGTCGCAGATAGCGACGCAACCTTGGTAATGGAATTAATTCCGAAGCCAAAGTTTCCGGATTTTCAAGCAACCGCTCCGCCACCCCCGTCCCCCACTCCCACCCCCGCCGCCGGTTCCCGCGAGCGGAGTTTTCGGAAACTCTTATCAAATCTGCCGCCTTATGATTCATTCGTTAAATCCGCTTTCAACTTCCCAAACATAACTTCAAATATTTAAG